TAAAAAAATGAAGTTGTTCCCACTTCTCTCTTATATTTGGCATTATCTCATAAACTTAAAATACTATACTTGGTTATTATAGCAATATATAAAGTACAAAAAATGTTTTAAGTTGCTTATTATTTCCTAAATAGGCACATTTGTATTTTTGGGAAAAATCTTGTTCTAATTTTATTGGATGGCTCACTAGATTTTAGATTTTAGACTTTTGTGTCATCAAAAACAGTGACATTTAATTTTTTTATTATTTTTTTAAAGAATGCAAAATAAGGGCCAGCCAGATAGCTCAGCAGGTTCAAGTGCCTGCTTAGGCAGACGCGGGGGGCCTAGGGTGGATCCCTGGCCTGCCGTGCTGGCCCCGCCCCCGGGGTACACTGAAATGGCTATTGAGACTGAGCATGGTGGCGCGTGCCTGGAATCCCAGCACTTGGGAGGCTGAAAACAGGAGGATCACTATGAGTCTGATCTGTATAGTGAGAACCTGTAGACCCTGTACTACATACATACACAAAAAAAAATAAAATAAAATTTCACTAAACAAAATAATAAGAATTTAACAATGCTATATTACATGATGCTGTCTTCAAATTTGTTGTTCAGATTACCAGATATAAACATGTAAGATTCGTTTAAAGAAAAAAAAAAAGAAAGAAATTAGAAGGAATTCAAAAGAGAAAATATAAGAGTAAAAAGGAAAAAAAATTAAGCACTAATTGCTCCTTTCAAGACCAGCAGAGGCCAGCCAGATAGCTCAGCTGGCAGATTTAAGTGTCTGTTTAGGCAGACCCAGGGGCAGGGGTTCGATCCACGGCGTGCCATGCCAGCCCCACCACCTGGGCACCCTGAGACTTGAGACTGGGTGTGGTGGCACACGCCTGTAATCCCAGCACTTGGGAGGCTGAAAACAGAAGGATCACGAGGAGTCCCATCTACATAGTGAGACCCTGTAGATCCTGTACTAAATTTTAAAAAAAGACAAGCAGAAATCGACAATACAATTATCCAAACTATTCTGCATATATACCTAAATATATCTTTTTCCTTTCTATCATTTGTTCTTTTCCTCATCCCAGTTTTTCTTTCTCATTAAACAAATTCTTCACCTTTCACAGTGTCTGTTGTACCATTTAGATTTTAATTACTCTTTCAGGTCCTCACACTAGCGAGATAATCCGATGTTTGCACATGTGGATCTGATTTAGTTCACTTACCAATATAGACTCTAGCTGCATCCATTTATCTACAGAATCCTCGAATATATAAGAACAATGACTTTAGTTTTGATTTTTAAAATCTTAGCTTATTTTTATCTTATTGTTTTGGAACATTTGACCATACCTTTTAAATTCTGTTTTTATATGATATAAGCTTCCATAATACAAATTGCTTTCTATAAGAATACTGGTGGCATTTATAAAAAATCAATGATTTCCTTCCTGTTGAAAGATGGAATTTAAAAATATATATTTCAAGGGCCAGGGAGATGGCTCAGTAGAATAAGTGTTGGCCTGGCAAGCGTAAGGGCCTGAGTTCAATCCCCGGTTCCACAAAAAAAAAAAAAATATATATATATATATAATTTCCATTCATATACATATATATGTATGTATATATATGTATATGAATGGAAATTAAATGGCCTCAGATAATAATTTATTACATGGCTTCCTGTATGACTATAATGTATAAACATATTTGATTTCTCATAAAACTTCCTGTAATCATTTTATCTTTTCTGTACATGTTTTTGAGACATAATAAATACAAGCATTGTGGGGAATTGTTACATGCACACATTGTGTCTGATCCTTTTACTTCCTTTTCCCGTCTGTCCTTCTCCTCTCCCCTAATCATCAGATCCCCTCCCCATCTCCACAAAGTCTGTCTTCCTATTTCCTATCATCTGTCTTTTGTTTTGCTCTTTCTTTATACTTTGGGCTTCTCATATTAGAGAAACAATGAAATATTTAACCTGTGTCCAATTTATTTCACTTAGCATTGTGTACTCAAAGCATACCCATTTTCCTGTTAATGACTCAAATTTATCCTACATGGCTGAGTAGTACTCCATTGTGTGTATATGCCACATTTTCTTTAATCATTTCATCTGTTGGTGGACATACAGGCAGCTTCCAAGATTAAACTATTGTGAGTGATACTGCTGTAAACACAAAATGCATGCATCACTGTAATATGTTTTTACTTCTTTCACAAAGATACCCAAAAGAAGAATGGCTGGGCCAACTGGAATTTCTGTATTTAGTTTTTGAGAACTCTAATGATTTGGGTAGTGGTTATACTAGTTTACATTCCCACCAACAATGTAGAAAAGTTCCGTTTCCTCCAACAACCTTGCCAGCATGTTTTGTTTTTTGTTTTTGTTGTTCTAGATGATAGACATTCTTTCTGGAGTAAGGTAGAATCGATGTTGTTTTGATTGTATTTGTCTAACTGCAAAAGATGCTGAACATTTTTTCATATACTGATTGGTCACTTTGTACTTCTTTTGAGAAGTATCTATTTCAGTTGTCCACTTTTTACTTTGATGTGTAGATAGCTGTAGTCTGAGTGCTACTGCCAAATTACTTTGGATCTAAGAGCACGCTTCTTGGAAATGAATACAGCTTATAGGTCTGTTAGATGACCCAGTTAAATTATACCTTATGTAAAGTGAGACTTGGAATCTAGAGTTGATAAACACTTTTGAATTTTACACTTTTTAGAGACTATTAATGTCAAAATAGTGAAATTATCTTTTGAAATTTAGCCTTGAAATTCTGTCACAGTCTTGGTATATTTTTGAGTATGTATTTCTAGCATACTTTCAGTTTTCTACTCTTTATTCTCTTCTGCGAATAGAGTTTTCTTAAGCATATAAAATGTTTGGATCAGGCTACTTTTCTAAGCTCACAGAGCTTCTTGATCAGAAAGAAATACAATGGGCAGCTTGCTGAGACTTCCTTGCTTTCTCGCATCTCCCACTTTCATCTGGGCCGTCTCTTTGCTTTATATCTGTTGTCCCTAGCTGCTGTCGCTCTTCCTTTTTAGTGTGGGCTTTGCGGGTTTAATTTTTTAAAAATCTTTTATTTCTTTATTTATTTGGTATAGGGTCTTGCTACACAGCTCAGACTCGTAGTGATTCTCCTGTCTCAGCCTCCCCAACACTGGGCTTACAGGCCTGTGCCACCACGCCCAGTTTTGGTGGCCAACAGGGTGCACCTGGGTATCCAGGGCCTGCATGACATGCAGTACCAGGGATGGAACCTGGGTTTTTGCACTTGTCAGGCAGGCACTTAGACTGCTGAGCTATGTCCCTACCCCTGGGCTTTGTGTTTGAAGACCTCATGGGGATGAGATTTTTCTAGCTCTGAACCTAACAGCCTGCCAACTTTGCCCTATGCTGTTCCCCAGCAGAGCTGATTCCCAGTGAATACTTGGTTATTTGAGATTTTTCCCTCCTGAGATTGTTCAGGCAATAAATGGCTTCCCTCTGCTTTTTTTCTTTTAAACATCCAAATCATATGCGGTTCTTGAGGCTGATGATGGTTCATAGAGAATTCTTGACCTTGCAGTTACTTTGTGTTTTTCAGGGACCTGGGGATTTGCTGTTGGATGTGGGAAATTAAGAAGGTCCCAAACTACTGCTCTGTCTTTCCTGAAAGTCCAGATGCACTCAATTTATAACCTGACATGTGGCAGGGTAACAAGAAGTCAGTCATATTTTCATAGATTTATAAATTACATTTAAGAACAATAGTTATACTCTTTATAATATAAAAGTTGAGAAAAGGTGAAGCAGTACCTACTGCTTATTTTAAAAGTTTTTACCAGAAAAAAATCATATGCAACTTGGAAAGAAAAAAAAAAAAAAAAAAAACTACAGTTCATAGTGTTGAAAGTGGTTTGTTT